TCCAAAAGACCGGAGTTAATGAGATCAATTTTCTCGTGGTGGGTAAAATATGTCTCCGGTATTTGCTAAATCTGGCAGCGAATGAGGAAATGAAAATCACGTCTTCCGAATATAGTGATCACTTGACATTTAATAATGACGTCTATATGAAATCCCTAAAGGATTTCAAAAAAAGGCATGATTCCTTATTCTAGAGAATAATTCGAAACACTTGCACAAGTCCTAGTGTCTTTATGTGTCTAGACAAATATATTGATAACACAATGATTCATGCATATTTTTAATGATCTATCTTTGTATATGTTCCATACGAATATGTTGTGTACTTATCTGTGATGTTAGATTCTTTTTTATGTTTAAATGTTTTCATGAAAAGACAAATGTATGAATTCATAGTAGTTGATATCTTTGTTAACCATTTTGTTCACACTAATCTTCTGAATAGTTCAAAAAAGGCTAATTACAATAAGAACTCTTGAAGAATTCGGTTAGCCTAGATATTATCGGTGCTCCTGAAGAGTTGACAAGGTTATTACTTGCCTGAAGAAAGAATTTATAATGAAAAATTTTGAGAAAATTCTTTCTTTATTGAAAAGAAAGTGCTTGAGTAAAATACACATGTTGAGCGCACTTGATTCAAGTTGTTGATATGCATAAGGACCCCTTTGGAGCCTTGTGTTTATGATGTAGAATTTTTCGGTCCTGGAGTACCATATTTTGATACTTTAAGCAAATTGATATTGTTTATTGGTTATATGCAACAGAATTTGGTCATGAAGTACCATGTCTTAATACATTTAATCAAGGCGTAAAAAAAAAATACATATTGCTATCGTTGGTGTACCTGCATATAGATGTTCTTCATTCAAGATTGATGTTGTACACCGATATTGTATGTCCACGTTATGTATTATCATATGAGATGATTTTTCGCATCAAGAATTTCACTGAAACAACAACAAATTCATATTCATTCAGCTAAAACATACGGAGATGATTCACATATTGGCATGCGACAAAAGGATGACAAGTGATATACTCAACAAGGGGAGCAACAACACACTATACTCTTTTTCCCTTGATCGAGGGTTTTGTCCCAATGGGTTTTTCTGACAAGGTCTTTTACAAGGTAGAGTCATATTCGGAAACGTATTGTTTTCTTTAAAAGGGTTTTATCCCAAAAAAGGTTTTTTCTAGTAAGGTTTTAACGAGGCATTTATTTTGCAAAGATGGAGATTCAAAGGGGGTGTGTTATGAAAATATCTGATTTCATTTTGATTGAATGTCCACAATTAATATGTATTATTCTATTCACAATCAGAGAGATATGATTTTGTAATATTTAGCATTGATGATAGTGACTTGTTTCACATAGTTTGATCCTCTCCTTGTATAAATAAGGAGCTCATTCATGCTGCAGAAGCACATTCAATACAAGTGACAACTCTTCTCTCTCTCTCTCTCCCTCTGATACAAATCTTGAAGTAAGGGTGATAGATTTACCTCGACGCTGAAACTATAAACACGCTGTGTAAGGGATATGTCTTTCAATTACCTCACTTTGTCTTTCAATCATAGAGCTTATAATGATTCTGGGTTAATTTTGAATGGTAGGAGCAAGTTTCTTGGTTTGGGAGCTATGATTTTAAAGTAGTATACTATACTTTTTGTCATCATTGTGATTTGATTTTAATGGGAAAGACGGGAGAATACAAAAAAGGAGTTGAGGAAAGTTAATGGGATAAAGAAAGAGAAGAATAGAAAATGAAAGCAAGCTGAAAGCAAGCACATTCAATTTAGTGATCTTACGGTAGTATCAAATACAACAATGATAGGGACAACAACAATTTATATTGAAATTAGGGGGGGAGGGGGAGGAGTCATACTATTCCACAAAACCATCACTCCCACTAAATCTGTGAATTTACTAATTAAAGAAAGACAAACCTGTGAAAGATAAAAACATCACTCCCACTAAACCTGTGATAGGGAAAGACAAAAACATCACTCCCACTAAACCTGTGAATTTACTAATTAGAGGTAAAAATATGATTTTGACAGGACAATAAAATTTCAATGGAAAAGTGACATAAAGGGGAAGGGGGGAGGAGTCATACTATTCCACATGAGTCACTATTTTTTTCACTACTTTTTGTCACTATACTTATTGTTTTCTTATCCAATAATATTGGTAAAAAACAATTGGTGTGATAGGGCTTTTAATAATATTAACAAGTGGCTATCAAAAAAACTTATAAAAAATTCATAATATGTTTTTTTGGAATTATTGGTCAGTGAAATATTTTTAAAACTTTTCCAAAAATCATATTAATCACAAATCATCCATAATGTCAGCCACCGTACTGCACTAAAATGATGCATAATAATCCTTGATTAGTGTTTTTCTAAAATGCATAATTTTGGCCGTAAATCATATTGATCACGAATCATCCTTAATTTGATTGTTTTTACTGTATTACCAAATTCGTTTTAGGCAGGGAAATGAGTTACTAGAAATGTGGCATGTGTTATTTTCTTACGGACTCCATTTTAGTTAATAATATATACATATATATATATATATATATATATATAAAATAGAGTGACAGAAACATTGTATCCATATTGGACTCTGGGGGTGAATCATTGAACATGATGGTTGCGGTCATAAGATCAAAAATCAAGCTTTTTGATAATACGAGCAAAAGTAACGACAGCTCCAGCATGTGCGGTGCAACTGTTTCTGCCATGACCACACAAGAGGATCTTCTTTCCCCGTTGAATAAATGAAAAGAGGCTGAAATAATTTCCAGTATTGTTAATATATCTGGTGTGGGCGTTAGTGAGTTCACCTCAGATGTATTTGCCAGGATGCAGCCAACATATCTGCCTATTCATCATTTCAAAAAGCATAAGGAAGAAACCACCTCAACAGTCGTAGTTCTTTCCATTGAATTTGTGGCGTCATGGTCAGAGCCGGTTGTGGTTCCTCCAATTTCTACAACAAAGAAAAACCGTAAAAAGAAAGGGTAAAAGAAGATTGCAAATTGGTCCTGAAATGCCTGTTGGGTTAGTACCGATGACTGAAATTACTCCTTCAGTAACACAATGAGAGGTTGGCGGTATTCCTATTCACTTTTTGGCGCTCGCTGTATAGACCTGGAACATCCATGGTTAGACCAGGGACATGGATGTTGTTTCTGATCTTTATCACCCCCTCCCCCTTCCTGCATTTGTAGTGTTCCTATTTTACAAAATTAGCTTCGTTCTGTATCTCCTTGTTGCACTGGTCTGTGCTATGTAAGAACTAGAAGAAGATTTCAATATAATGATGTTGGCCCTCTTCAAAAAAAAAAAAAAAAGAGTGAAAGAAACATTGTAAGTCAAAATTGTAATAATAATAATAACTCATATGTTGGTTGAAAAGTAACAGCTAACACAACTTTTATAAACACACTGTGTAAGGGATATTTCTGTCAATTGTCTCAATTTTTCGTTAAATCACGGAGCTTACCATCATTCTGAGGTGAATTTCGATACGTTGGGTCGAGTTTCTTGGTTTGGGAGCCATAATTTTCTCAATAGTAGCCTATTCTATCTTTTTTGTCATACTTGTGATTTGATTTTAATGGGAAAGAGTGTGAGCTGGGAGAAGAAAAAACAAAGTGGAGGAAAATTAATGAGATAAAAAAAGAGAAGAATAGAAGAAGAAAGTAAGCCAAAAACCGTTGCTTACGTCGAAGGTTTTGCCAGAGACTTAATTAGATCTAGTGTGAATTTCCTACCCAAAATTCATGGAGAAAATTTTTGCAATTCTTAAAATCCCACAAGTGAGGATGCTTCTCGATCTCTCTTGTGGTATGACTCAAATAAGGTTATCCTAATATTTGAATAAAAGTCTTTATGACAAAGATATTAGTGAAAAATATTGAGTGAAAATATCCATCCTCAGATGGAATCCCATCTGTCAATATGTTTCGATCAGACGACCTAAATCAATTTCATCGCATTCTCTTTCAGCCGCAATTGACAAAGCTTTGGCGACTCAATTTCCGCCACCAGATATCCTTCCGCTAGGTAACGCTAATATATAACATCACACATAGCCGATTCAAGCTGCTGTCTGTTTCTACCAACTTACTCACTGGAGTTTTTCAATGCATATTGATCAGTTCCATTGTGAACCAAGTTAAAGGTTGGGCTAATTAAGATCTAGGATCGGGGGAGTTTCTTTCGCGTTTTTGGAACTCTACAACGATTCTTGTGCGGCGAACTCGCGGTGGTTTAAATTACACATTGAACATTGTTGTCTTTCTCTTTTGAGGTCTGCACTTCAGGTTTCAGCTGTTACCCTTAATTTTGATTTCTTTTCCTGTCTAGATTGCATGTTTATTTCCTTTCTGTTTTGATTGCGCCCTCTTCCCTCTGCATCCTATTCAGATTGTCCATCTTGGTTAAATTATCTTGTTATATAATCCAGGGTGTCAGATAGGGGATTTCTTAAAGTGATATAATTATTGCACAAAAAATCTGAAAATTGCCATCATTAGTTTGTTGACCTTGAATACTGAAATTACTACACAAAAGTATGAAAACTATTGTCACCAGCATGATGTTTATATTGAAGGGCCAGAATTTAATCAAGTTTCTGTTAGTTCTGTTTAATTGTATCAATTTAGGTATAAGCATACAAAAGTTTTGGTTTATTGGTTGAATAATCTTGTTTAATATTAGGTCTATTTATTTGTCAAAATCTTAGTTTTTTCAATTAAGATTAAGCTTTAGGGTTTAGACAAAATCATGGACTACTAAAGAGACAAAAGAAAAATAAACTCTCTCTCTCTCTCTCTCTCTCTCTCTCTCTCTCTCTCTCTCTCTCTCTCTCTCTCTCTCTCTCTCTCTCTCTCTCTCTCTCTCTCTCTCTCTCTCTCTCTCTCTCTCTCTCTCTCTCTCTCTGCCGCAACCCTAATCTACGGTGACGGCTTCTTTCTCCGGCCATTATGGCCGGTGTACCTCACCCCAATGCAACTGTGGCTATCTCAACTAGACCGAGTCGCACCTTTGCAACTTTTTTTGCTAAAGCATTAGCAACATATCCACCACAGGATATTTCGAACCCCCCTATAAACCCTAAGAAGGTTAGTTTTTTCAATGGGACACCAGAACTTGAATATGATGATGAAGAGTTTGAAGAACTAATTGCTCCTCACAAGGTGAATTTAGTGGGAAAATTTTCTTATGGAAGACCGAAAATAGATGTCTTGCGCGAGGAATTCAAAAAAATTGGTTTCAAAGGATCATATCTTCTTGGTCTTATGAACCCGCGACACGTTTTGATTCGGTTTGAATTGGAGGAAGACTATCAGCGTTGTTGGATTACATCTTTATGGACTATATGCGGCTATCAAATGCGCATTTTGAAATGGCAGCCGGGTTTCAAGTTTGAAGAAGACCCACCGATCGTTCCCATCTGGGTTTCTCTTCATGAGCTTCCTTTCGAATGGACGCATCCGAGGGTTTTATTTTCCATAGCCTCTGCTGTTGGAAAGCCCCTTCAAGTGGATACTCCAACCCTCAATTTGACAAGGCCGTCTGTTGCGCACTTTTGTGCTGAGGTTGATCTAACTAAAAAGTTACCGAAGTCGATTCGGATTGGAAAGAAAGGAAAAAAATATGAGCAATATTATACGTATGAATATGTTCCTTCGTACTGCTCTGCTTGCTGTAAGATTGGACACAGAGATGTGGATTGCCGAAAAGTAAAAGGCACAACTATAAATGTCCCAGCAGTTGATGCTTTGAAGAAGACTGAAACTGTTGCCTAAGGACCAAAAATGGCTGCTCAAAAAATGGATTTCGATTGCAGCAGAAAAAAGTCAACTGGGGTTTGAAAAAAGGGGAAAGGAAGACGGATTTGGAGGTGGAGATTATCAGTGAAGACCCTTTCATCGTAAAAGGTTTGATTCCTAAAGTCTTCAAAACACAGGTTGCGGAAACCCTAACCTCGCAGCCTCCAGAAGAGGCGCGCGCTGGAGATTCAACTTCTGGTTTAGCAGCCAAAGAAAAAGGTTCTGCTCCTGTTGATATTGTGGACAGCCCCCCATGATTCTGGTAGTAAAATGGTGGATGATAACGTTCTTGCTGTTACTGAAGCTCAAGTTGATGGCGACTCGCGACTTAGATCCAATGCGCAAGGGGATTTTGTTTCTCTACGCGAATCTACCCAACTTGCATCTCCGGAGGCTAGAGTTGCTGATGCTTTGCGACTAGATACCGACACGCAAGGGGAAGTTGGTTCTCTAGCGCAAACAACTCAACTCGTAGTCCTGTCGGATGATGTTTTGAATGACTGCTCTGAGATGAATAAGACAGCACCGGTTATGCAAGCAAATAAATTTGTGATCCTACAAAGTTGTGATGATAACCGCGATGCGATTGCTGATATTGTCCAGGAAAATGCTGATGAAGATTCTGATGATGTTGAAAATGTATTCATGAAAGTTATCCCTGCAAACCAGTTGGTCCTTATGGAAAATGTAGATACGAAAAACGTAGCTAATGATGGTCAGGACCCTAAACGTTTTTATCCAGATGACTCTTTCGTTGCAGATCTACTTGTTTCAGATGATGGTGACGATGCATATGAAGAAAGTTAGTCAGAAGGGGATAAGGACACGCCTGTCTTGGCTGGGAATGCGCAAGGGGAATTAACAACCCAGAAGAGGAGCGGCCGCAAAACGAAAGATGAGCGCGCTAAGCTTATAGCTGGTAAAGAGCTTCGGCGATCTCTTCGCCTTCCGTAATCTCCATATTTTATCAATGATAAGTGTTATTTTTTGGAACATTAGAGGAATACGAAAGGAAGCCTCTCAACAACGCTTGCGAGCTCTCATCTGAATGTATAGAATTTCTCTTGTGGTGATTCTTGAACCTATGTTAGCTTCTGATAAATTAGAAGAAATAAGGCGGGAACTTAATTATGATTGTGCTTTCTCTTCAAGTACTAGCAAAATTTGGGTCTTCCATAGTAAACTATTTATTGTCAGCCGGTTGGAATCTGGTGAGCAAATGATGCACTTTGAGGTTGGGTATGTACCTCTTCAAAGGAACTTTCTCCTTACTGTAGTGTATGCTAAATCTAATAAGGTGGAAAGGCGATCTCTATGGGCGGCTTTGAAACTTTTAGAAGTACACATGTATCTCAGCCTTAGGTTATTGGAGGGGACTTTAATGTTATACGATCTCTTGATGAATACTCCAGGAATTCAATTCAGGACTATGGAGCCATTGACGAGTTTAATCAATGCATTGAAGAGAATAATTTGATGGAAATATCATCGGTGGGCGATGATTTTGCTTGGGGTGGTACGCGTGCTACCCGTTGAGTTAGCAAGAAGTTAGACCGTATTCTTTTCTCGCCGGAGTGGATGGATGTTTTTCCTAAGATTTCCATTGAGCTTTTGAGCCGTACTACATCTGACCACTCCCCTTTGCTGCTTCAATTTGATGCTCAACTTGAGTCTAAGCCAAGAAGTTTCAGATTCCAGAAAATGTGGCTTCGAAGAGGAGATTTTAAAGATCTTGTTCAATATAATTGGTCAAAGCCGGTTTGGGGTTCTAGAATGCTGGCTTTTTCCTTGAAGCTTTGTAGATTGAAGCTAGCTTTAAAGGAATGGAACAAATTGCATTTTGGTGATGTTTTTCAAAATCTGAAATTGGCGGAGGATAAAGTAAAGGAACTGGAAATCGCCTATGATCGTTCTGGGCACATGAATGATAGGCAAAATCTAAGCTTGGCTAGGGCTCATTTGCTTCAAAAACTCAAGGAACATGATGACTTTGGGAAGCAGAAATTACACTTAAAATGGCTCAAGGAGGGGGATAATAATACAACTTATTTTCACGCATCTCTCGCTAAAAGAAAGTTGAAGATGGGGATCCAAAAAATTCAAACTGAGGAGGGCCGTGTTTTAACAAAATTGGAAGAGATTGAGAAGGAGGCGGTGGATTTTTTTCATAATCTTCTTACTGAAGAATCTCCTCATTTATGGCATCATCAAAAGCAACAAGTATTCTTGGAAAATTTGAATGATGATTTGAGCTTGGAGGATAAGCACATGCTTGTAAGGCCGGTTACTATGGAGGATGTCAGGGCAGCGGTTTTCAATCTTGATGAGGATAGTGCGCCTGGTATTGATGGATTTGGAGGGTGTTTTTACAAAGCTTTCTGGGATATAATCTCGGAAGATCTTCTTGCTGCATGTGAAAATTTCATGAGTGGTGTTCCACTTCCAAGAGTTGTGGCAAGTACTATAATCACCTTAATTCCTAAGAAGGTCTCGGTGAGTACATTTTCAGATTTCAGGCCAATTAGCTTTGCAACTTTCTTAATAAGATTTTTACTAAAATCTTAATTGAAAGGTTGAAGCTAGTGTTACCTAAAATCATTTCTGAGGAACAATCCGCCTTTCTACCAGGAAGAGATATAATTGATAATGTTGTCTTGGTGCAAGATCTTTGTCAGTTCATAAATCACAAGGCGGTGGGAAATAATGTAATTATCAAGATTGATATGATGAAGGCTTTTGACTGAGTATCTTGGAGTTTTTTGGAAAAGGTCCTTTGTAAGCTGGGATTCCTGGATGCTTTTATTTCATTAATCTTGAATAACCTCAGAGATAGCTGGTTTTCAATAATGGTGAATGGTTCCCCAACCGGTTTCTTTAAGCCATCTAGAGGAATAAAGCAAGGTGATCCACTATCCCTTTACCTATTTATATTGATAGTTGAGGCAATGTAAAGGAAGCTAAACGATTTAGTTCGGAAGAATAAAGTGGCTGCCTATGGTACTCCAGCGGGTTCCATGAAAGTTTCACATCTAAGTTTTGCAGATGATTTTATCATTTTTACAAGGGTTGAAACTCGACAGTTGAAGGAGCGAAATAAGTTTTTGGAAGCCTATGAAATAGCTTCTAGACAAAGAATAAGCCGCAACAAAATTTTCTTTTTGGTGGCGGAATCTTGTAGTGCATTTCGGGTTGTAGCAATCAAATGAGTTTTGACTATGTCCTAGGGCTCTTTTCCTTTTAAATATCTTGGCTATAATATATTTTGCGGAAGGAGTAGAGCATCTTCATTCCAGTTTCTATTAGATTCTTTAGACTCCAAGATTCCAAGCTGGAAAAACAAGTTTCTAAGCCCGGGTGGAAGATTGATCCTCTTGCGCCATGTTCTTGCAGCGATGCCTATACATGTTTTGTCGGCTATTTACCCCCCATGTCGGTCTTGAAGGAAATGGAGAAAAGATGCCAAAGGTTTCTATGGCATTGTTCAAATGACGAAAAGCGAAGACATTGGAAATCTTGGGATCGATTGGCTCTTCCTATTTCAGAGAATGGCCGGGCTGCGCAAGTTTGTAGATGTTGTTCAAGCTTTTTCTTGTAAACTTTGGTGGAAATACAAGCAGAAAAATGGATTATGGAGTCATTTTATCTTGTCTCTCTCGCATTCAGCTAGGGGTAAAACATCTTGGAGCAGCGTTGAGAAGGTTGACATGGAGGCGTCGCAATACTCGAAGGTTCTGGTTTGTGGGGGGGGGGGATCGATCTTTTTGGTTCGACAACTGGACTTCTGTTGGTGTTATATGGAGGGAACCAAATGCCCTTCTCCCTAGTCCTCAACTGAGTATTAAAGATTTTGTTACTAACAAGGAATTTTATTTGCATGATTTGCAGGATATTCTAGCCACGGAAGTAATGCGGTCATTGAAGTATACGGCTGAAACTCTAGAGACGGGCCGTGATTCCTTGATATGGCAACACTCCTCTTCGGGTTTGTTTACCATCAAATCTGCTTACTTGCATCTAAGAATCCGGGGATTGGAGGACTCCTTATCTAAGAATTTTTGGAACAAGCTAATTCCGTTGAAGATTTCTTTCTTTGTATGGAAGCTTCGCAACTTTCTTGTTCCCTTCCTAGAAACTTTGAGTAAGTTTGGAATACAAGTTTTGCCATCCATTTGCCTCTCATGTCGAGATCATGGTGATTCAGTATTGCATTGTTTTCTTGAATGCACGGCGAGCAAGGAGATATGGAAATTTTTCTTTAGCTTATTTGAAATACCATGGCGAGATGAAGTAAACTTGCTTGCCATTATTCAAGAATGGTGGAAGCGCGGTTGCTTCTCCTCAGCCCGCAAATGATCAAGATTGCTTCATCTTTCATTCTTTGGGAGATTTGGAAGATGTGGAACAAAATGTTTTTTGATGGTGAGGCTTTTAGTTGTGAAAGGGTGATCTCCGCAATAAAGGTGGACTTATATAATGTCTTAATAACTCATGAATTGAAGGCCCGGATCTTGGATGAGCGAGATTGGATTGAAAGTATTTTTGGCTTCCAACTTCAGAATGTAATGGTATATAGGTGTATTTCTGTTATTTGGAATGCTCCGGAACATAGTGAATATGTGCTTAATACGGATGGCTCTAAGATCCATTCGGATTCAGGTTATGGATTTTGCATTAGGAGGAATAATGGAGGCTTTATATATGGTGAAAGTGGTTTTATAGGGGATGGAGATAGCTTTGGTGCGGAGGTATATGGTGTGCTTTTTGGGGCAAAGAAATGTGACCAACTGGGTTTGCAAAAGGTGGCCATTCAAACTGATAATGAATCCTTAGTTCATATACTTGGTGATATGAAGCATGTGCCATGGAAGTATTATTTCTAGTTAATAGAGATTCATCATATAATTGAGAGGCAAGATTACACAATTCAACACATATTTCGAGAAGCCAACTCAGTGGCGGATGGCCTAGCTGGTGACGCGTCACTTGGAATATCAACCAGATATAACTCTATGAGTACGTTGCCTAGGCATATAAGGGGACTTGTACGTTTAGATCAGGTCTCCTTTTCATATTTACGAGCTCGTTATAAATAGTCTTTTGTATACTTGTAAGTTTTAAGCACTGCCAAATTTCTGGGTCGATATTTAATAAAATACAAAAGGAAGGATGCTAGGGAACTGGATGATATCTATGTCCATCCCTCGGGTATACCCCTTAGGTGCATACTATCATCCAGCTATAACTGCTTCAAAAATTCATCTCTTGGGTAGACCCCTTGAGTGTTTTTGAAGTAGTTAGAACCCGAACTTTCTGGCCTTTTCATTTATTTTTTAAAAAAAGGGGTTTAGATCATGTGTAAGGCTATATATGCTGGTTGCATACGTATTATTGCTTCTTTTTTTTAAAAAAAAAAAAAGCTTAAACCTTATTTTGGTTATTTCGTGGACTGGGCTCTTTTTTATTTTCGGATTGGATTGTGATTAATTAATTTTCTGCTGAAATACACTCTTTCTATGGCCGTCAGTAACACTGCTAATTAGCTTCCCAAATATAATATGATGGATCTACCACTCTTTGACAATGCAGTATGGTTCACCTTTCACCAATTTGATTCTCAATTTCATAAAGTTCTTACTTTTTACTTTTTTTATTTCTAGCTCATGCTGCATCTTTGATTGCTCATTTTATTGACTAGACTTGAATATACTGCTTTCTAGCACATTTGTTGATTCCATTTTGCATCTTCCGATTGTAACAGAATCCACTTCCTCCGTATTATTAATCCATATGATACTTGCCAGATTTTT